TCTGCTTCCTGGTTTCCGCAAGCTAAGCAGATGTCCTCTACCATGCCCTCCCACCATGAAGGTGTGCCTAATTCAAGCCCAGAGCAATGGAAACAGCCAACCATGAACTGAACCTCTGAATTCATGAGGCCAAATAAACTTTTCTTCCTCCAATTACTGTTGTCAAGTACATTGGTCATAGAAAACCAAAGCTAACTAACACAACTATTCAAGGACGGAGGACAAAAGACAGAAGTTACCTTTGTTATAAGCGGGTGTTTCCACGTATAAGGAAACTGCAAGAAAGAGAGAAAGCTGGGTGGGGAGAGAAGGCAGGGAGGGAATATCCTTACAGAATACTGAGCTGGAAGGGCCCCGTGAAACTGTGTCATTTAGGGTGGACTGAAAAGTCCATCAATTAGATGCACCCTGATCTATGAGGCAATAGCTAGGACATCAGCTATTGGACCCTTCTGGGAGACGGAGGTAAAGGGGCATGTCCTCTTCCATCAGTGGGACCTCCCCTGTCCCACCTGTTACTCTGGGCCCCCCTGCCTGGGCAAATGGGCACTTTCGGGCAATTTAGCTGAGCCCTGTTATAGTGTATCTTTAAAACTCCAGCCAGCACCTTTCCTTATCATTATCTACAGTAGTCCATAGAGATGAACTTCTACATTGGGGAGGAATTTGACTGTTTTGCCAAATGCAATTAGCTTTCTGATTTATAATGTGCACACTATTATCCTGATAACCAGAGGTATAGTCCTTTACAACCTAGAGCTTTTCCCCAAAGCCATCTACCACACTGTCCCCCCAAAGTCATATTTCAGTGTCACCCAGCAGAGGTCACTTCCCTTTGTGCTGCCCTGTGAGGCAGAGGCAGCCACAAGCACTGAACAATATTAACTCTGAACTCTGGAATGACTAATTTCCCCCTTATCCTGGCTGCCAAGCCAACGAACAGAACTTATTCCTATATGTTGACAAAAATAAAGTTTTCCTTGAAACAGGCAGCCACCTTTGGAGGCACTCAACCTGGGCTGGAAAAGTGTGTGGGCTGTGCTCACATCCTGTGTAACTTATGGGGAATTTTCTGTGAGTATTCTTTCTACAGGATGTAGCCCTGTGTGGCCTTGAGCTGATTACCTGGAATG